TATATTAAATTAGTTACTGGTTATCGAAAAAATGTAACTGAGTTAAGCTACAGTTACAGATGAAAGGAAAGTAACGAAGTTAAGTTAGAGTTACTAAGGCACGGTTTTACCAAACGTAACTTTAATCTTGGTTTAATTCGTGTTTCTCTCTTTCTAAAGTAACAGTTGGAAAAAGACGAAGAACGAATTAAACTAAGCTCAAAGTTAAGCGACGTTGGTGAAACCAGGCCTAATGCGTGGTCTACAATACGTGGAGTAAGCGTGGAGTAAGGAGTAAGGGAGAGCCCTAACTTCTAGCTTTTGGTGTAAGGAAGCTGAAATACGGGCATGATTTTTAAAATAATTGTAACACTGATTGATGGCATTTTGATTCACTGAGAGTAAGCCTAAGAGCTGAAGTAGGAGTAAGAAATAAAATGGATTTATTTCCTTACTCCTACTCCTTACTCCAGCTTACTCCATGTATTGTAGACCAGCCTTAAGAGAAGTAACTAACTTCGTTACAAGTAACGAGTCACTTCTCAACCCTGCATTTTTCTATATTAAAAAATTGTTTATTATACTTTTTCCATACTCAAATTGTTCATTACACAAAAGTTCTTTCTCACTCGTAATTATTTGTTCTGTGTAGCTTGTCTAACGCTTCAGGGGACTTGCCCCAGAGCGTTTAATAAATAAAGATTCTATTCGATTCCCTTTCCCTCCCTCGCGCGCCGAGCAATTCACGGAAGATCGATCGCCTCCGCAGATCCTATAAAACCATTCCTCGCGGCGAAAGTCCCTGTGTTCTAATGCGAAATTGATAGAAGCAGGGGTTATCTTCCCCCAAAAATTCACACGCGCCTCGAGAAGTCTCGCCTCTCCAAACCCATTCCAGCCGACTCTCTTCGCGCTGTTTGATTAGAGATATTTTTTTTAATACTATACGGCAGCTTCTGCACGAGCGCTAAATTCAATCGAGCGGGCGCATCTTTATGACATTCGCGCGAATAGGCGGCAATAATTTGCGCCATGAATGAGATACGAGGACTACATTTTATTCTCTCGTAAAACGGAAGTGTCACGTAAGGAGCCATGCGCGTATCGTTTGCATATAAATGTCAATTTATGCAAACGCGTCTGATTTTCATACGGAATAAGTTCGATGTGAAAACTATGCGTCAGCGATAGTTAATAAACCTTCACGTATTGACGGTAATGCTAATAATGCGGTACGTGTTACGATATAACACGCCGAAACGCATTGTTCCACCTATTACCGTCGCGTTATATATTACACGACAAATTTCGAGTGTGGGTATAACGTGCGCCCATTTGCCACGATCGATATACCATAACGGTAACGTGTCGATAATGTGTGCGTTGCACCGCGATCTATAATTATTGTCCGTGAGCGCGTTGCATTGCTGATGAGAAATAAATATGTCACGGTGGAACCCGTTACGGGGGCTGCCGCAAGACAGGCGTTAGATTTCATCAGAACCGTAAGGACGGATCTGTACGGATTTCAATAACCCTACTCCGAGCCGAACAGCGAGCTAACGCAAGAATTCATCAATATCTCGCAAGCTGTCCGGCTAATTACACGTAATTTCCCGCTTAATTTCTCCGGCTCGCGTAACAGGTTTGCTCGGGACTTGTCAAATAACTCATCCCGACGTAACGTATCGTTACGCATCGGCGCGCGCACGTGACTCGCTCGTTTATTAATTTTAAGGCAACCTCGATCTCGCTTTCAATGTCCGACACTTTCGAGATAAAAGATCGCCGCGCCGCCTCCGAATTAGCATACGCGACACGGTCCGCGCGCGTCTGCGTAGAGCTGGGCATATGTTAAACACCTTCCCACGTGCGAGCCACGTCCACGCGCTGTCCCTGTACGGATGTAAAAAAAAAGAAAGAAAAGCGGACGAGTAGCACGTACCTGTCCAGGGATACCGCGACCAGGCTGTAGACGGAGGCCACCACGGAGACGCCCTGTATATAAGCGACCGCCTTGCACATGAACCATCCCAGGATCCACGCTGAAACACAAGTCCGCAATTTATCGTTTCGAGTATCACTCGTGGAACTTCGAGGCGGCGCTGCCTCGACGAGTGGCCGGTCGAAGGGCTTTTTAGGGACTACTGCGGCCGCGACTTACGAGGGCCGAACTTGCTCAACGTAACAGCGAGGAACGAGCGCTAAGTCTAGGGCACTTGACGAAGATACTAATTGTACCGCGTTACAAATGAACTCAAAAAAAAAAGAGAGAACCCCGCGAGTAGTCGTGTAAAAGTCGCGAGTTCTCGTGCAACAATTTTACGCAACTAGCTTTCGGAAAAATTGCTTGTTCCGATGCTGTAACTGGCGATTTTGTGCGGCTGCATCTGCGAACTAATTAACGGAAGTTTACTCATTTGCGTTCATCGAGCTCACTGAGCGTCCTATTATACTACAATGGTCCGATTAAGTACGTTAAACCGAGTTACCTGAAAATAATTTAGATTGTCTCGGCGAACAATAGGGCGGAGAAAAGATATTATTTATACTTAATTAATGCATGCTCGATCGCGTGAGTCAGCGTGCTTCAGTCGGCGTGAGAAAGATTCACGCGCTGCTTTATTTATTCCCCCCCCCCCTCCGTTGTAACAGAAATAAAATTAGAGTTAAAGTAGGATTCTCATTGAAACTAAACAAGGATGGCCAGTGCGAGTCAAGGCAGGTTGTAGATGGCCTACACTTGTAATTTTTTTTTTAATATATTTACAAATCGTTTATCGATTTGAATATGTAAATTCACTGACGATAATAACTCCACCTGTAAGAAAACTGCGTCACGTCCGAGGAGAAACCGGCGCGCAGGACAAATGTGGAAAAACGAAACGGTATATGAATTCACAATTTATTAAAAAAAAAAAGAAAAATTACAAGTATAGGCTATCTACATCATGCCTTGACTCGCGTCGGCCGTCCCGGTTTCTGGTGTAGAAATAAAATTATTTTCGAGAAATCTCGTTATTTTTCGAGCGAAACAATATCCGAACGAGCAGCATCGCCCGGTAGTTACAACATTATGAATCCGAGTGACCCATTTTTGAGAAAAAAGGCAGGCGACATAAGCATGTATCAATTTTATCGCCCGTCACTTTTCTATACGTGCACAACAACTATTATACCCTTCTCTTCAGGAAGAAAGTAATTAATCCCGCGCCCGAAAATGGGGGGAAGCTTAAAACAAGGGGAGTTTTCAACTAGCGCTATCCATCATCGTCTCCGATTGATGGTACGGTAAATAATTATCTCGCATAATACAATATTGAAAGCATTTGGTAGTATAATATGATCGATGAGAAAGTTTACCGCGTTCTCAGAATAATAGGACTACGCAGCGCAACGGAGAGAGGGGGGGGGGGAGGGAAGGTAGGTCCATCAAAGGAAAGGTCGTTCATAAATATCGAGCGTCTACCTATCGTGTAACGTCGCAACGAGATACAAACGCGATGCGCCAACGAGGGTTGCAGTTAGGCTGATGGCAGAGAACGGTCCGTAAACGCTTAAGACTGCCTCAGTCGTAGACGTAAGGCAAGGCAGAGGAAAATTTAAGCCGTGAAAGGCTATTGTATACCAAACGTCGCTTAACTTTAATCCTGGTTTAATTCATGCTTGTCTCTTTCTAAAGTAACAGTTGGAAAGAGACCAAGAACGAATGAAGCTGAGCTTAAAGTTAAGCGACGCTGGTGGAACCGAAGACCTAGGACAGTCTTAAGCATTTACGGATCGTTCTGTCATCAGCCTTAGGGCCTGAGCAGAATGGCTGTCTCATACTCTTAAGACAGCCTTAAGACAATGTCTTATGTTTTAAACCTTTGTCTTGAGGTGACGCAGAATAATTGTCTTATATCTTAAGAGTACAAGACAGCCAGTCTGCTCAGACCCTAAGGCAAGGTAGAGAAAAATTTGAATCGTAAAAGGCTATTGTATAGTTAAGCATTTCCGGATCGTCCTCAGTCACTAGCCTCAGACTCTCTCAGACTCCGCCGCCCCGATCTCTGTCGCGATTATCGCGGTGCCGGGGGTGTCCTCGCCAAGGGCGTCCCACGCTATTTCGAAGACTCCCGAAGAGCCGTGCCGTAAATTCGAGCGGTTATGGGACAAAACTGCTCTCGTGCATGATGTACGACGATGCCGCCGATAATGAATTGCAACGCGCAATCGTCGGGGCGCGAGTCGCAGCAGCGTGGAGCATTAAGGGTCGGGGGAGGGGCACCCAAGGGGATGTTGAAACGCCTGTTTACCAAATTCGATCGATGTTCCGCTTTGCTCTAATCGCGCGACGACACGTTTCAAGCTGAACAGCGGATACGGTACACGGCCGTGGAGTATTGTGCGCGAAGTGAATGGTGCAGGCGCGAGGTCGCATAGAAGGGAACCTCCCGTCTGCACCGCAGATCGCGGCCGTTAAGCCGATAATTATTTATTCCGTCGAATACATAATTTCTCGATAAAGCGAGTCCGACTATCGCGTTGCATTAATGCATCCACTCGCGAGAGATAATGGACAATGCGAAGTCGCACGGGGTGGGGATGCAACGCTCGCGGCGGGAAACAGGCACACCGGCGGGTGTAATTTCTGTAATGTAAACCAAGTCGCAAGAATATAAACGGATAGAGAAGTTATCATTGATGATTACATCGCGCGCGTTCCCTTCAATTAACATCGAGTGAGCACCAGCAAGAATTTCATACCCAGACGCTTAATGTTAACCTTCTGAAAATTACAAAGATGCATCCAGCTGTACGTTGAAATGAATTTTCCTCTCCATATCCGCCGTTTAATGAAGGTTCCACATTTTACTCCGCAGAAGCAATTAACTCCCGGACGCATAAAGCGTCCTTTTTTCATAATGTCGAATCAAATGTAATATCGCTGATCCCGAAGATCGCGCGTCGAGTGCACACGAGAGAGAGAGAGAGTTTAAATAAAATTATCACGCGTCTGACTCCCCGCGAAGAGACGACGATAGATTGGCAATGGCGCAATATTAAAGAGACCTCGAGAAGTTGGGAGATCCAATTCGGCGATTCGATTCCTCGGATCCAAAGCACGGAAATTCGCTTTCGTCGAGTGCCCGCAGTTCCGTTTGATTCGTCCATTCTTGACGGAGCTGTAACTTCCGCTTATATAATTTTCGCGAGGACCTTCGTTCGAAACTTACCGACGAAAATACGGTGATCATTGTCGCGCCAATACGTACGCGCGTCACGGATGACGGAAGTTGGATTTCGCGTCGCGGGGAAACTTTCGCAAAATGCACTCTCTCGCTCTCTCGCTCTCTCTCTCTCTCTCTCTCTTGCGCGCGCGAGGAAGCCCCCTTACATTCGGACACTCCGACCGACGGCTTCCGATGGGACATTCAGAAAGTTTTTCGCTGAATAACGCGCGAGCGTGTACGTGACTTACGCCGGGACGCGAGTTTCCGGGTCCGTTTCGGGCTAAAGCGCGTGCGAGGATTCGAGATAAAATCAATGCCTTTTGTCTATTCGCTTTAGGACTCGTCGCTTATCCCGCGGTGGTCTTTCCTCGCGGGAAGGAGTCGCGCACCGGCGGGACGATATATTTGGACTTGCGGGATACACGGGGTTCATCAGGGCGGCTGATACATCGACGTGAATAACTCATGACGAGATGGGGAAAAAATAGCCTCGTACCACATACGGCCGTTTATTGGTCGTCCGTAAGGTATGTAATTACATAATCGTTCCGCGGCTTAGTATTTTCCCTTCTGTTCCACGGCGAAAGAAATGTCGATTGCGCCACTTTACAAAGGCTAACGCACGTAGAACCAGTTTCATAACTCGAATGCAACGTGCAATAACGATTGATAATGATGATAAACGCTCGGCCAGCTTCGCGGAAAGCGCGCCCGAGCACGTGTATTATTTTTATTTATATATTCTTCTCTCCCGGCGGGTTATTTCTCAAGAGAGAGAGACAAGGGCGCCGAGATAAGGCGGCGCGCGGCAGTTTCATATTTTTCATCATTTTAATTAATGCCCCGCCGGCGAACTTGAAAGCGCACGAAAAGTCTTATCGGTCAATTGCACCAAGTGTCTCATTAGTCGCGTTTTTCCTTTCCGCTCTCTTTCACCCGTCTGGCTATCGATAATAATATGTAATTTTCTAGTCGAAGCTGCCATTTATATTTCGCGGTAGTTACTAGTTAGTCACGGATATTATGTCAGAGTGAAAATTGAGGCGATAACTGGGAAACGGCCTTGGCCCATTTTCGCCCAGATTCACGGCCCTTTGGTGCGCCAAAATGTTTTATTCCATTGTTTTGATGGACTTGCGCGCGTCAACTTCTATTTTTTTTTTTTTACAAAACTCACATCTTTAGACGGCGGTGCATCCGTTTGGAACAGCAAGCAGGAAACGTTCAGGAAGCATTTTGAACTAACGCCGAATAATAGACTATTGTTATAAAATCGAGACGGTTCGTCGCTTTATCGAACTCGCGACGTCGAACAGCTCTTATCAAGGTCGCTTATCATATTCAACGGAATATCTTCTATCGACTCTTTTTTTAGTTCACTTTTGCTTGCAAGTGAACCTTTTTTTTATGGCCATCGTCGTCTGAATCGAAGTCTATTGCGCGGCGCGAAAAACGATCGCGTTCTAAAGTGATGGGAGTCGCGTTAATCTCAGAAACGCGCAATGTCGTGCGTTAACGACGCTTTTTTTCCTCCCCCGGTGGCCTTCGCCGTCGGGATAAAGGCGGGGAAAGAAATCATCGCTTTTAATTGTCCACTGTGGAAACAAGGTTCCGATTGATCGACCGGTGGTGGCGAATTATCGCGAAGTCACGTTCGCGATTTTAAATGTCAAATTTTTACAATCACCTCGCTCGCGCTCGCGCTCGCGTGTACGTAGATGCGACGTGTACGCGCGCAATGCCGTCTCTGCATATTACTTTCACTGTCTACGCTCGATTAGATAAGCCGCTGGCTTACGGGCATAATCTACGCACCGGCGCGACGGCGT